TTTGTCCGAAACTTCGGTGTATCGATGGCCGAGGGTTGATACTTCGTATGCGTCGGGGATTTCAGAGGGAAAAAAATTGCTTTTGTAAATTTAATTTGCTCCCCGAGCGGGACTGGAAAGTACGAGATGTCACTTCCATCGAGTTTTCTCGTAAATAATTCCCTGCTCCGAGATACAAACTGTCATGGGAGAAAACGGATGTAAATAATTCTCAGGGAGAATGGAATTTTTGAGAAGAAAAGAATTTTGGGTTCGCTAGATTCATAGGTCTCAAGTGGCCGTTTTTGCAGATGTCGAGGTGTCACTTCTTATCTCTCGACACATCCATATATTTTTGTAAACTGAAAACCTCGCGACGTCACTTTTTACTTACCAGTGATTATGACGTAACGTACTTTTGACAAGTTTCAAATTGTTACATTCGGTAACTGACGAAAAAATACGCAAAATCGCACGAAAAAAATATCCCGTGGTCAAAAGGTTAATTTCGGAAGAGTCAGTTTTCTTCAACCCGTGACATGTGAAGCAGAGGAAACGCGTTCTCCCGTCACCGCTTGAGAATTTAATTTTATGTTAATTTATGTTAAAATACTCGGCGCCCTTATTCTGCTTTGAGGGAAATCTTCCATCCGTCCTGGAATGTCTATTGACGGTCGCTAGTACGGTCGATAATCCAGTCTATTTGACATTGTTATTGTCGGCGCTCGGCGGTCAGCAGGTGTCCCAAGTAGAGAGCGCGGCTCGCGAGAGGCACGATGAGTATTCCTAACTTCACTAACATTTTTACAGCAAAAAAAATGGTTGATCATCCGATCGTGAATCTCATAATTTTCATAATTCTCATATCGACAAATTCTGCATTTTATGATCTCGAATATCAACGTCCAAATCGCTCGTAGTGTTTTCTATCCGAGCCCGATTTCCCACTTTTGTATTTTGCCTTCTCACTTACAACGAATCCCTCGAGTCACACGATCGGAGAAATTTGATCGTCTTACGAGTTAATCGAAGTTAGACACCGTGCACTTTGATTTCGCTTTTCTCCTCCGGAGAGAAGTTTCAAATTTCCTTTAGAGAGAGAGAGAGAGAGAGAGAGAGAGAGAGAGAGAGAGAGAGAGAGAGAGGGAGAGAGGGAGAGGCAAGGACAAAGAAAGAAAGGCTCATAGAAAAGAATAACATGTATGATCCGACGATCTCGCGTCGGATCGCGTCAGACGTACGTACGTTTGCATGAGCGACTTTCGACGGCCTACGAATTGGATTCGGCGTACGAATTAAGCGCGCAAAATGCACAGTGAAATCGAAGATCACAAGCAAACGGCGCGAGGAAAAGTAGCTCGTCGGCTTGGCGCGAGGAAACTCATTAAAGTTAAATTAGCGGGGCGTTCGCCGTTCTCGTGGCGGATTCAGCGGCATTCCCCGGCACGAGGGCACTCTCCGCGGATTCGGGTAACTTTTACATCGCATTGTTTGAATATTTTCCGCCTTTTTAACACGCGAACTCGTCGTGGCGTTTTGACACGCGATTTCGCGGCGCGGCAGAGAGAGAGAGAGAGAGAGAGAGAGAGAGAGAGAGAGAGAGAGAGAGAGAGAGAGAGAGAGCGAGAGCGAGAGAAGCCGGACGTGTGTTTCTTCCTCGCTGCTCAAGCGGATAAATAATAATAATCCGCGATAATGGCAGTGGCGATAAATAAACAAAACGAAATGAGCGAAAATGCGGGCGACTGGCGTCTCGCACCATAACTCGCGCCACCCACCTTTAAATTACGATCGGAAACTACGCGTTAGACGCGCACGGATGTATGTACGCGTATTAATGTTAAATTATACCCGACGAATGTGCACATCGTGAATTTTGTTTTTGACCTCGCGCGTACGCAAATACGAACGTTCTCACACGTAAACGCTCGCGCGTCCCGTTCATTGTAACAACGCGCGCGACGTGTTTTTGTAAATCTTTCAACGCGCGCGCTTTCGCTAGCGGCCCGGCAAAAGCCCGGTCAAAATCAATTCCGATATTAGAGTGACATTTAATTAAGCGCTTAATAATTTAATTTTTTAAACGCTCGTGTAACGCGCGTGTTGACACGGGTGGGCCGTGTGAGTGTGTGCGTGAACGCGCTAGAAGCATTTAATTAAGTCTCGCGCGCGCTTTTCCTCATCCTTTTTCCTGTTTTTTTTTCCTCTCTCTCTCTCTCTCTCTCTCTCTCTCCTGTTCTCTCTTTTGTATATTCATCCCGTGCGTGTTGCACGTTGCACATTGTGCAAAATAGCGTATGAAATTTATTAAAGAGGAGCTCCGGGTTTACATAACTTTCGCGCGGTCGCGCAAAGATTCTCCTTTTCGTTCTCTCTCTCTCTCTCTCTCTCTTTCTCTCTCTCTCCTGTCCAGAGCATCCCGTCTTCATTGGTTCAGCCGCGCTGAATCGGTTTACTTGAGTTTGATGGATGAAATGACGGCGATTGCGCGTGAGGAAGAGGTGACTCGCGTTCTCTTCCAGTCGTCCGGGACGAAGCCGCGATTTTCAGTCTCTAGCCGCGAAAAATCCAGGCGCCCGTGTGTCCCTCTCTCTCTCTCTCTCTCCCTCTCTTTCTCCCTTTTTCCCTCTCGCTTAATAAGGTGGAAAAATACTCGTGGCTGCACGGTGGCGTTCGCACGAGACGGCCGACAGCGACGAGAATTCCGTACACGCGGAACATTTCCTGCGCGTCCCGCTTCGAACGCACGCCCTCTTGTCCGCGCGTGGCGAGTTGTTTGTTTTGCGCGAATTACCCGTTCCGTATTATCGAGAGCTCCGTCCCGGACAGAGACAGGACGTTGGCGCTCACGCATGATTGCACGAGAAATCGACACCGGAACGTCGCTAATTCGCGAGAGTCCAGCTCCGTGCGGCGTTTATTCGTTCATAAATCTCGCGGCGGCCGCGCGCGGACAACGCGGGCAAAAGCGGAACCTCCTTCCGCCCGGCGTCGGCGCGCGAAATTCGCCGTCATCGCGTGCGATTTTAGCGGTGGGAACCAGTGGTAGCAGTGACGACGAACAGTAACGCGTAGGATCCAGCGCCGCCGTCGCGTTCGCGAAACGTTCGATCGGTTTATTTCGCTTTTAATTAAATTATTCTCGCTCGCACGCGCGTCCCGCGGAAGCGACGCGGAAATATCGGCCGGTGTCTGGCGTTGCGTTGAAGACCTGTCGGTCGTTATCGGCTGAATAAATAATTAGCCGTATTATCATCGTGCTCCTGCTCGCTCCTCCTCCTCCTCTTATAGTTCTCTCGTCGTCGTCATCGTCGTAGAGCGGTCGCAATGAAAGGCGGCAAAAAACTAAACGCAGGGCGGGCGAAAAAAGCGACCGGCCGGCGGGGGTGGCGACGGCGGCGGCGGCGGATCGCGCTATTGTCTCGGGGAAAACGCGGTTGCTTCTATTTTTCTCCCCTTTCTCTCTCTCTCTCTCTCTCTCTCTCTCTCTCTCTCGTTCTTTCGCTCTTTTTCTATCGCTCGCCCGCTTGCTCTCCTTCTCCCTGTCGCGCTTTCTGTCTCCCTCCCTCTCCACAGCCGTCACGGCGGCGCGGCCATTCGGTTGCAATTAGGATTATTTATTTACCGCATTCGCAGAGCGAGCCACCAATGTCGAAGGATTTCTCCCGCTTTTCCCTTTGGGCACCTTCTCCCTCCTAGCGGACTTTCTTTTTGCTCGGATCGGTGCGGCGTTTACGCGAAAGCGCTTCAGCCGCAGGCGCGCCGCGCGAATATATATATCTCGTTTCTTTCTCCACTTAATTGTCCGCCGATTAAAACGCGTCCGCTCGCTCCCCCTCTCCCACTCTCCCGCTCTTTTGGCGGCTACGTAAAGATTCCGTTATCGCGCGTGATTGCGAATTTCCGATCGCGCCGGGAAATTAGTGGAAGAGGGCTTCTCGTCGAGGAGCTCTTTCCGTCCTCTTAGCCCCTCTCTTCTTTTTCCGAGATACCGAATTCCGACGAATTCGCACCTGGAAAAAAATTACGAGGGTTTACAGTCGAGTGTCACCGGCGAAAAAAAGAGAAAAAGAGAGAGAGAGAGAGAGAAAGAGAGGGAGAGAGGAAGGGAGAATGGGGAAGAGGTAGGGAACACCCTACGTGCACTTAGAGTCGTACAGTCAGTATACCGCTAGTCGCGCTCGTGAAACTAAAGCCGCGGGCGAGGAATCTCAGAAACGGAAGCTCAAGTACGCGCGAGGATTAATCGACGTAGTTGCACCGGATTAAAGCGCGCTTAATTTCGCGAAGCGAATCGCCGACATCTAATCTCTCTAGTTGGCGTCGTCGGGATATATCTTTCGGCGCATCGCGTCGCGTTCCGTGTTTCATTTTAAATCCCCTCTCTCTCTCTCTCTCTCTCTCTCTCTCCTTCTTCTTCCTCCTTCGCCTCTTGCTGTGGAATTATAGCTTGCGCGCGTATTTCCGTCATATTTATTAATTTGCTTCCCTCCCCCTCTGTCTCCCTTCCCCTTCCTCTTTCCCTTCATTTATTTCCTCCTTTCTCCATTCTACGCTGTCTCGCAAACGTTTACCTCCTTGTCGCTGCATATTATGACGCAATTTGCAGATTCCGTCTCTTAATTGTCGCCGCCGAAAATAACGCGTAAGCTAATAATCTATGCGAGTGCGAGGTTTACATTTTACATGTTTTAACGTATTTTAACGAAACGAGGCAAATTTAAAGCGAAAAGATAATCAGATATGTATATATATATTTTTTTTTATTTGTATAAAATATACAAGAATGTGCAATAAGTGGTGTATTTTGATTTAAAATACATATCGCATTCCCAGCGCAACACGAAGAGCGTTTGCTGCGACGTTTGTCATGACGTCTTGAGAAATGCGACTTATTCCGCGAAATGAGCCTGGAGAATTCGGTTTAAGTTTGTCCCACTTAATCGAGATACACGAGTGCGCTTTTGGAAAGGTCTCGACATATAAATGATCGAAAACGATTAATTTTGTTCGTGTTACAGACGCAGTGGACTGAGTCGAGTTACGGGACAGCGAGTTACTCCTGCGGGACCGTTCGTTCGTCGTATCGAGGTGAGTTTATCGATCTGCCATTTGACACGATGAAATTTTGAAGACTCGACACGGCACCTGTGTGTGTGTGTGTGTGTGTGTGTGTACACATACCTATACACACGAGCACGCGCACACGGATACACATATATTTCGCAAATTAAATTCTAAATCAATTAAACGTCAATCAGAACTATCCCTCCCCTTCTCCCCCCTCCCGCGAATTAAATCCCAATCAATTAAACATCAATCATCCTCATCGGTCGAATCCGAATCAATTAACCATCAAACATCCTCATCAATTAAATCCGAACAAATAAATCTTCCTCGTCAATTAAACTTAATTGCCACACGCTGAAAATGCGCAACACGCGAGCGCGTGAACAATCGAAATGCCCGAGTGTGCAATCGCCGCATCGTCGGGTCGTCCGTTGTCGCCCGTCGGCCGCTACGCGATCGCGCGCGCGTCCATTTCAAAACGTTTCCTCCGCGTCTCTTCGGCGACAGGGAAGAAACAAAAAGAGGAGCGAAATGCAACAAGAGGAAACAGCCGATGTGCAAAGGGGGGGGGGGAGAGGCGGCACGTTATACGCGAGAGTTCGCCCAATAACCGTTCGTCTTGGCGAAATTACGAGCCCGGGCCGACGTTATCTCGCCGCTCGCGCGCGATTTAAATCACGCGCGCTTCGCTCGCTCGCTCGCTCGCTCTCTTTTTCTCCTTTTATCTTCATCTCTCTTCTGCTCTTTCGCTCTTTCTCTCACTTTCTTGCACCCATCCGCCCCAGCCATTTTTTGTACGGGGGGAGTCCCTTAATTCCTGCTCGCGCGGGAATTACAGTTGCGTCCGCGTTTCCGGTCTCTGCTGGGAACGTCCCCGTCGTCTTCATTCTACCTACAACCCCCCACAACCCCTTCCTCCTCCAGCAGGAAGGGCAGCCAAATCCCGAGCTGAAAGCCGCCGCCGTCATAACCGGTCCCTGGGTTTACCTTTATCCTTAATGTCGCACCCGCGCTCGCGCGGGGTCGTCTTCCTTTCTGTCGTCGTGCGCGACGTATCCTGCGGGAATTAAATGCGCGAAATTAAATGCAACCGCGTCTTGCCGGTCCACCGCCGGCGCGGCGCTGTCTCGCCGCCCGCGACGCTCGGCGTGCGACCGTCGCTGGTTCAAGACAAACCCACGAGATTGCGGCTCTCACCCTCGTAATCATTCTCGAGCTCCTGGAATAAGCCGGCGACCGCGAAACGTGTCGTCGCGATACGGACGATTGTTCTCGTTTGCGATTTTCGTCTCTATTCTCCGTCGATCCAGCAACCGATTGTCGGCGGCGAATGAATCAACGTTCGTTTCCTGCAATTTCCGGGTAATTTTACTCTTCGTCGTAATTAATTTCACCGCACGCGCTGGTTTGTTCTTAACTTAAGCTCGTGTGTTTCGTAATCTCGCGCCTCGAAGAAGAAGAAGAAGAAGAAGAAGAAGAAGAGAGCCTGAATGAATCAGGTGTTCCATCGGAGATATTTTTTTCAGCACTCCAACCGGGACGATCGCGCGCGACCATATCTCGTTAAAGATCAATGAGAGAACGTCGCCTACACGGTAAACAAAACGGAGGTGCCGCTGGTAGAGATACGATATATCGGGGCAATAGATAGAAAGGGGATTGAATTTCCGCTAACATTTATTCGTCGTAAGCCGCTATTAAGGAACAAGATCCTACCCCTCCCTCCAGCCAGCAGCCGGTGAAAAAAAGAGGACGAGAGAGAAAGACAGAAAGGGTGAAAGAGAGAAAGAGACGGAGAGAAGCGCCCCTCTCTCTCTCTCTCTCTCTCTCTCTCTCTCTCTCTCTCTTTCTCTCTCTCTCGAAGCGTATAACGTTAACTGCTCGATCCGCCGCGAAACGAGAATCGGTACGCGCGCCGGAACGTATCCGGAACCAATATCTGGCTTCGCTAGTTTCCCGGAAAAATATGGAAAAATTTACTTCTGCCGGCGGAGAAACGAGGCCGTTCGGCGATCTCCTTTTTTCTCTCGCTGTCTCTCCCTTTCCCTGCTGCTAGCCTTTCTTCTTTTCTTCCTTCCTTCCTTCCTTCCTTCCTTCCTTCCTTCCGTTTCTTTTGAGGGAGAGGAAAGGCGACGGAGCGCTCGCGCGCCTTCTGGAAGACATGAATTTCGGTGTGTATGTGTTATCAATCGACGGACGGAATTCGGTAATTCGCGGGACAGGTGGCGAATTTTACGAGGCGTCCGTCCCCCTTTTTATTCTTTCCCGTCTGCGAAATGAGAAAGACTCGCCGGCTTTGGCGCACGCTCACGCCTGCGTCATATCTCGCGAGGGAATCTTGCGAATTTTGCGTTCCTTCCTTTTTTTTATTCTCCTTGGAACACGGATCGAGAATAATTCAGCGGCGAGGGAAATTACTAATCGGCGATTCGCGTGCTAATGATAACATATATTCGTCATTCGATATTTTTGCGAAATCTTTGTTTAATGAATTTATCAAAATCAGTGATCAAAAAGTGATTGTTTGATTTTAGAATGTTATAATATATCCGTGACATCTGTTGGACATGTGATGAAATTTCTTTTTTCTCTCTCTCTCTCTCTCTCTCTCTCTCTCTCTCTCTCTCTCGTATTCTTTCTTTTTTTCTTTTCGGCGGTGTGGCGTGACGAATATTCATTCGCAATAATACGCGTGCATGTTTCTTGTCAACAACGTATAGATTTAAAAAAGCATGAATTTAAAAAATATTTGATTTTATATATGGATGTATATATATATATAGGATATATGAATTTACGTAAAAAAAGATTCACAAAAGTGGAGCGTTCTAGTTTCCCTGAAAAGGTTAAGTGGATTATTCTTTAAATATTATATCTTGCAAACTACTGGGATATTTTTGCCGTTTATTACCCATATTTATTACCCATAGTTATTTCACTCGTTCGGTTTTCCTGTTACAATTGTTTGCAAAATTGAGGTTACACAAAGAGTTTCGCGCTTGACAGTCACTTCGAGCGATGAATATCGCAACATTTTCATATCTGCCGTATTTGATCGAGATTATATATCTGTATATCTTTTCGCGAGATCGATTTCAGAGCACTTCGAAAAATTTAAGTTTCGTTCGCCCAGGCGTCGTTTCGAAAAGATCGATTTATGCGGCTCCGTCCTCTCCTCTCATCCTTATTCTCTCTCTCTCTCTCTTTTTGCTAGGGCACCGAAATGCAGCCTAGCATCCCCGGGGAGCGCAATGGCTGCAACGAGCACTGTTTGAAAAGCAGGCCGAATTTTCTGACAAAGGCGCAGGGAAAGAAAGCGACGGGCGCGCACCGGTATACGGATGTTGCGGAATTGGGAAAAAGGTTCTCGGTTCGCCGAACACGATCGCGCATCTCGTCCGCTTTAGTAGCGGATCCGTTTCAATCGACCAACTTACGTATGCGGCCAAATCGCATCAAACTGAGTCTCGCGAATCTCGGATGGCTTTGATATTTTCACAGTGAATCCTCGGCAGTTACTACCCGCCGCTGGGGCGGAGGGGTGGTTTTGCGACGCGGCAGTTTTTTATTTTCTAATCGCATAGAAACTGTCAGCCGTTATACATACATACATACATATATATATATATATATATATATATATATGTTTGTAAACTCAGCGCTTTTTTCCTCTCCGCGTGAAAGGCTTTTTCGCGAAACCGCGCGAACCCTGACGTTTGAAAAGCCGCCCATTTTCACATCAGCAATGTTCCACGAGGCAAAGGGTGGCGGGAGCTGGGAATTTTTTCTTCCTTTTCTCTTATTCCCCCCTTTTTTACAAAACGTGTTCGACTTTGTTGTTGTTTGAGCGTTGTTTCGGAGAAATCTCGTTTGAGCGTTTTGGTTGGAAAAAAGATAAAAACGACAAAAGGGGAAAATGTCACACGAAAAGATCCGGACGCGCAGTAGCCTCTCTCTCTCTCTCTCTCTCTCTCTCTCTCTCTCTCTCTCTCTCGATACCGTTCGCTGGTCGAGAGGGATATCTTTGTCCCGGCCACGTCGAGCGGATTTCACGGCGTTGATGCATCGACACGCTCGTTGCGTGCCCGAGAGATGCGGACTCGCGGCCCTCGCGGCGCTCGCTGCAGCTCGCCTCGGCGAGAGGTGGTGCGCGCGCGGTATTCTCCCCTCAGTCGTATATCAAGCGCTGATGTCGGAGTTGCCGGGAGAGTGCCAGAGGTCGAACTCTTATTGCCGTAAAATACAGCAACAGGGCGATGATATAGTGGCCGAGTCGGGCCGGAATTTTCAGCGCGCGACGACGATTGCCGGTGAAGTAAAGCGAGGAGACAGAGCCAAGAGAGACAGAGAGACAGAGAGAGAGAGAGAGAGAGAGAGAGAGAGAGAGAGAGAGAATCGCGGTATGTGGAAGAATATCCTGCAAGAACGACACTAAGTGGGAAATCGGCCGTGAGACTGTCGCCGCGCGACCTCATTTCGTCGCTTCTCTCTCTCTCTCTCTCTCTCTCTCTCTCTCTCTCTCTCTCTCTCTCTGTCCCTCCTTTTTTGTAATTTTTTAATAATTCTCTTTCTTGCGATTTCTTTGCTATTTCTTTGCACACTTCTTTTCTGTAGCTAATTTTTCTTTCTCACAACCAAGTTTTGAGAACCCTTTTGTTTGTGCATATGCTTTCATTTTGCACTCATAAGACATTTCACTTGTCGTAGCGCTTTAGGGGCCGTGTCCCGGAGTGCACATTAAACAATGCTTTCTCTCTCTCTCTCTCTCTCTCTCTCTCTCTCTCTTTCTCTTTCTTTTTTTCTGTCTTTCTCACGCTATGGCAGTTTTTCATCGGCGGCCGCGTGCGTTCATGTAAAGAGCGTGGAATCCGCGGTAGCGGTTACGGCGGGCAATTAAAAATAAGCCGAGGGTGAGCGGTGGTCTGCAGCGTGATATCCCCCGTACGCTGTGCAATTCTTGTAGGTCGCGTTGGAGGATCTCACGTCGGAAAGTTGCAACTCGGGAATTAATTATCGTATCC